TTAGACAATAGATGAGCACACAATCAGTGGACAAAACCGAAATCACAACACATTTGTTATGAAATAAAAGACACACTAAACGCATGAATTAATTCCTGTAATTGTGTTGATTTTTTGCGGTTTTAATCGGGTTTTTGTTTTGTTAATAAAGTGTATACAGAAATTTAGAGTTATATAATAGAGTATCTGTTTCTCTGGTATTGTTTGGGTATTTGTATAGAAATCTTAGAAATGTAAACTTTACTGACAAATAAATATTCCGTGGTTTACATGAATGACATTTCAAAAGCATATAATTGCCATCAAATCAATGAATTCCATCGGAATTCAAGCTGTCATTCAAACGGTAAGAAAACTAATAATTTAACAAACATTTCAGTAAGCCTTCAGATTTTGTATGGAAAATAATTGGATTTAATAAATAGTGGAAACAAATAGTTTTGCATTAATAGGCGTACAGAAAACATATGATTGCATAAATAAAAACAACATTTTAAAATGACATTCTCGTAAGAATTTGGATTAATTTAATTCAAAAACAATAATAATATACAGAAAATAACAACAACTCACCAGAGACTGAAACTTTTGCTTTTCCGCCGTCGCCTTTAGGGTTCAAATATTTCCTATTTTGTGAAAAAAATCAAACATTTTTCAGTAAATTATTATTTTTGGAGTAATTTGTGGGCAATTTTGTTCTCAATTTCTCTTATTTCATGATTTCATATCATTTATTCTTTCGATTATTAGTTGATTTNCGGTGTCGAGCGCTGTGTGAGAATTCCTACGATCGCTGACAAGTCTGAAGGCCTTCTTATAGCCGGACCAACTGAAACGACTGGACGACTCCTTCTTCAGATTAGTCGTAGACTTACTTATATTCAGATAATTTGGTTTAGTTTTGTATTTCATTAAATCGTTATCCAAGTCGGGTTCGGGTGGTGTCGAGTGTGTCCTCTCTCTTCCCGTAGACATCTTCTGGAGATCAGGCGATGAACCCCTTCGTGGCACAGGAATCGGCGGTACATTCAATGTGTTCGGAGACGACGACAAACCCAATCCATCCCTTTCTGTTATCTCGTTATCAGTGATCTGTGAAACAGTTATACAAAAGTTTTATACTTTTTATACGGTTTTATATTTATTGTATGTTTTTTAGTATTGAATTAAACAAAACACACAATAATTGGTTGGACACGAGTGCTGTCAGCGTTGTCGGAGTTGTTGAACAGTGATCTCACATCCGGACGCTGTTTACTATTAACGATTTGGACCACTTCTTGACCTCTTTTATTGTGTGCCTTTTGTTTGATGATTGTTGAGCGCAATGTATTAAATCTCTTTCGCACGGTATTTGTCTGCCTTTCGGTTAAGGCTATTGGCAATGAATTCCTCAGCAAATCATCCAAAGAAGTCGAAGTACTCGTCAGAGAATCGTCTATTGGTTTGCAATAAAAATAAATAAAAACAATAAAAATTAATAATCAATTGATTAATGATTTCGCGTTTTGTTAACATAAGCTACACAAGTTATATAATATTTATAAAACATATTTTAAGTGCATTTATAGCACTTTTATTGCTCCCATTAATTACATTAGAATAGATTTACCTAAACTTCTCGACCGTTTCGATAAACTATATTTTCCATTCATTCTTTGCATTTTAGATGTAACTTATTTAACAATTTCATTTATTGAAATAAATTAACTTAAGCCTTGTTAACTTAACAATATATTCTAACAATATTTTACAGAATATTAGCCTTTATTACAAAATGTCAAACAAAACATAATCCACTCTATTATGTGACAACAAACTCAAAATATAAGTAAATATTCGGCAAAACAGTGATATATATGTTTGATAAGAATTTTGACTCAAATTACAACAAAATTATATATGATTTCACTCATATACTGTATTTATAAATATTATGGATAAATATCAGTATTAACATGTATTGAGCAAGGATATTTGCGCATTACATAAATTATTTATATAATATCATAAAAGATTAATAATTTCAGAATTTCTGACAATTTATTAAATATTGCAAATACAGTAAAGTATTAAATAATCTATTCTAAAATATTTGTTTAAAATAGTGAAGATTAAATAAAAAATAATCTCGTTCAATGCAAACAAAAATCATATTAATTATACAAATCATTTACCTTTTAATGAATGTATGATATCTTGAAGACCAGCCTCTCTGAGCCAATCGGCTTCTGCCAGATCTGAAAAACAATTAAATTTAAAAACTCAAACAAAGTTTATATTTAATTAAACAAATATTTAAGTATTTATAGTTGCAATAATGAAATAGAAAACAATTAACTATACATTGGAATTGGGATTAATTTTGTACTTTTTAATTAAACAAAACCAATATTAGAAAGTGAGCGATTTAATTAAAAACAGTTACTCTACAGTGTTTTTACAATATACTTAAAACACAATTAATAGTGTTTTGATGGCCTAAAAACAAGCCCAAGACATGAGTCATAAATGAGTCTTAATTTTGTTTGCATTTTAGATATATAGCGAATTGAATAAGAGATACGAGAAATCAGCATAAATTGATTGTTCCGATTAACAAATCAAACATTAATTTATTTCATTTTTCAGTCAATATTCCTCTTAATTGATAAGTATTGCTAATACATGTCCACACAATACTCTAGGTCTTTGCACTACATGTTCACTGATTGTCTATAATATGTACGAATAACATGAATATTAAAGTAAAAGTTTTATCAAATTAATTATTGATTTAATTGAACAGATAGGCACTAATGATATGCTAATTATTTTCTCTGTGAATGATGTAAACTCTGTATCAAATAAAACTCCCTTTGTAACTGAAAAAATAAAATAAAATAAGATAAAAGTTTTGGAAAAATGGAAACAACAAAATTAAATGTGATATCACTTTACTTAACAGTATTAGAAAAACACGATTTTGAAGCAAAACTGCACTTTCATCGCAAGTCAATGCGCTATTGTTTTGAATACTTCTTGTGAACTTCATATTAGTCATAAAATATGATTGCATTTGAATTAATTATTCAAATTTAACGGCATTCAGACAAAGTGTTGGAATAAATACAATATAAATTAAGCTTAAATGGCTAATTGGGGTCAATATTCTATAAAATAAGACTTTTTCGTATGAATTAAATGCAATAAATATTAATAGAAAATAATTCAGCATTTCTTATAAATCAGTTATATTTAAATCAAAATAAATTTTTAATTGAAAATATATTAATCCAATATTACTCCAAATAAAAATTTAAATAAAATTTAAATATTTAGACCTCACGCCTAATACATAACATTATTTTTAATAATATGTAATTTTATGTCATATGATTTAAACATTTGACTATATTATCGCATTTTGATATTATGGTTACTGTTAAGGTAGTTAAAATCACAGTTTAATGCACTAATGATTATGAGTTAAAGCTAAACAGTAATGCTTAACAATAAGTTATACATTTTTGAATAATATAATTTTCAAATATACAACATTTTATCGCAATAAATTATTCAAATGTTTAAAAATCATAAATTCTAATTAAGACAATCAAATCAAAATTCAAATGAATTGCCAATCAATCAAAAAACTTATATTATAGGAATTAGTCTTAAGAATAATGAAATATTATTAATTATGGGAAAATTATAATTATTATCGTTAATTAGTTTATAAAATAGTAATAATTGACTGAAAAATATTTTAATAACCAACTAACATTAAAATGTTCAAAAAATGTTTACTTATTTTCCTATACTGATATTTCTTTATACAGTACAGTAGTATATCATACAATCTATAGATAATATTGTAAAATTGCATAAATATTATAATAAATTGATAGCAATTTACAGCAATTTACAGCAATTTGTGTACAAGTATCTAAATGTTATGTCTACTAAATTGAATATTTAATAAGCGCTCCAAATATTTTAATATCAATTGGTTTTGATTTAATTTATAAATTGATAGCAATTTACAGCAATTTACAGCAATTTGTGTACAAGTATCTAAATGTTATGTCTACTAAATTGAATATTTAATAAGCGCTCCAAATATTTTAATATCAATTGGTTTTGATTTAATTTAGTAGTTCATTGATATGATAAAAGAGACAATTTTTATAACATTACTAAATCATATGAGGGTTTCTAAGAATAAGGTTTTCAATAAAATCAAAATTACAAAGGCTTTGGCATTGTTTAGTATCTATTGTGAAAAGCCTTGAAATTACTGTAATTCTAAAGCAAATAATAATTATCGACATTATCTCTGTTCAATAAAATGTTCATTTAATTAATAAATAAGATTTTTTTCTTTCAAACCAATTCAATATATTTATTATTATTTGTCAAAATGATAGAAAAATCAAATTAACAATTATAACCAATTTTATAACATTTTTATGGCTTCTCTCGTTCAGTCAAATCAATTCCAGTCAACACTATATCCGTATTTACAGCGAAACTAATTTATGGCAATTAATCGTTTATCCTATAAATAGATTGTTATCTCGTTTGAAATGTTTATGTGTTTAAGTTGTTATGAATCATATTGTTTTGCAATTCCTAATTCATTATATTGAAGACATTTCCCAAATTATATTCCCTTTTAATTAAATAAATTCTCGAAAATGAGACAAATTCTGGTCTCAATTAAACATAATCTTTTGACTCTAAAAGCGATATTAAAGTAAAGTTCCTGTTTATGTATCATTTGTCACACAAATTGACACCAAAATACTAATTCTGTGGCTTTAGATGAGAACAACAATAAAATGAGATCACAATTGAAACACAACTGTTTTTATTGCGTTAGTAAATTGTCTTATCATTTTTCATATTTAGTGTATTTTATTATTTACTCAAAAATCACTTCACATACACTTATATTCCGAGTAATACAGGACTACTACTACTTCTGTTATATTATTATTATGTGAAGTCATATCCATATCGAAAGATAAATGAGAAGTTGTTTTGTAAGAATCGTAATCTAATGAAGACATACCTTCTAACGACTTGTTGGGAGAGTTGTCTTCATCCAACTCACTGTAACTTTGGGAGACATCCACATCACTCTCACTGATGGCGTCCAGTTCTGCCCAAAAGTCTTCATTTAGCGATGAATTTGACTGTTTTATGGACTTATCGCTCGGATTCATGTCTTCAACAAAAGCGAAACGAGTCGAGAGTTTGGCAGAAAATATTTGGGTTAAGAGTGAAGCTATGAATACGAGTTCTCTCTCTCTCTCTCTCTCTCTTTCTCTCTCTCTCTCTCTCGTCTCGACTCAGAACTCCAGTTGTCGTCAATTAGTTCACCAATTGATAGATATGTACGAGAAGTACAATATCTGCGATAC